GAAGTCACCTCCTCCCTTTGCGTCTCACCTCCCGCTCCCTGAAGGCACCTCCTCCCTTTGCGTCTCACCTCCCTTCCTCTGCCCCAGCTTGCGTCTGCCTAGGAGCCTCCTCCAGGCTGGAGGCACAGCTTTCGGGGGACTCCAGGGTGACCCTGGGGCCACAAGGTCCTTCCAGGTGAGGGTGACAAGGGCGGGAAGTATGAGGCACCTGTCACGGCTCTGAATGTCTGCACTCCCAGTCTCCCTGAGCGGCCCTTACTCTCAATCTGTGAAAGAAAGACGGTCTCTCCACCTTGCACCTTCTCCAGGTTTCCAGGGAACTCTGAGCAGTTCTGAAGCTCCTTGGCGCCATCAGACAGCCTGGGAAAGTGCACCACGCTTTGAGCCTGGGGAACCTGAGATGAGCAAGTCAGCCACCCAGGGAGAGGAGAGCACAGTCTCACAGGCTCCAAACCCAGAGGGTGTAAAATATGAATAACTTAGCACTGCCACCCCCCTACCCCGCCCCCGTCCTGACCTTGCCAAACCAGATGAGGCCCCTGCAGCTTAAACATCGACAACCTTCCTCCTCTGGGGCCGGGACACTGAGAAAGGGGAGTGGGAGTATAAGAAGACCCTTCTTCCAGCCGGCCCAGGGCGGCCACCCCCCAGAGGACAGTGGTTCTTCCGAGACTGGCTTTGGAGCAGTCCCTGTGACAGGTGCCTCACACACATCCTCTTGCTCCTTCTTACAGCATCCTCTGAGGCTGGCAGGGGCAAACCCATTTTACAGATGCGGATGTTGAGGGTCAGAGAGTTTAAGAAAATTTGTTTTGAGTTCAAAGTTCAAGGATAGAGTGTAATTGATTGGCGTGCATAGAGAAGGGAGTGTGGGTGGCCCAGGAGACAGAAGATGCCGAGTCCTCGGCTCCAGTGCCTCATGCTAGGGGAACGGAAAGAGCACCGTGCTGGGGGTGGGCAAGCGGGGTTCAAGGATACTTTTAAGGAAACTGAGGGTCTCTGGACTTTGCCGTGAAGGCAGGTTTCCTCGAACTCTCTGAGACTCAGTATTCTCACCTGTACACTGGGGTTGTGAGGATCAGTGAGGTGATGCATAGAAAGCAGCGGGTCCAGTGCCTGGCGTGTGCAGAGCGGGGGCTCTATAAATGTGGCTCCCCGCCTGACATCCTGGCTCCGGGGATGTCACAGGGCAGGGCACCTGGGGTGGCTCCTCTAACAGCCTTGCCTTTCTGGCTGGGCGTTTCCAAGGGTGGCCCGAGCCCCAGCCGTACACAAAGCCATGGCTTCTGTGGTTGTTTCAACAATCCTGCTATTGCAGACAACATCTCAACTGGGCTTCTCTTGTAAATATTGATGGAGGCCTCAGACAGAGAGGAACGAGAAAACAAAGGACGTTTTATTTATGATGGAAAAAGAAACCAACAGAAAAAAATAATCTACAGGCCCGACAGGGAGGGGAGAATATTTAAATAAACCATGGCACATCCACTCGATGGAATATTGGGCAACAATTGAAATGATGTTTACCGAGGGTTTGTAATAACACAGGAAAATGCTTATTCTAAGAAGCTAAGTGAAAAAAAGGAAGCAGCTGAATTGTATATTCAGCATAATCACACCTAGGCAAAAATCAAGCCAAACAAAAATTATGCACAGAAGAAACAGGCGGGAGGGCCACGTGTCACAGCAGGGGCGAAATTGGGCAGAGTTTTTATACTTTTCTCTATTTTCCAATTTTTTTTCTATAATGGCATGGTTAACCTAACGTGGAAAGCAAGCCAAACTGAAGATTTTTTTTTTTTAAAGAGGAAAGAGCTCTTAGTGGGAAAGCAGGACAGATGACCCGGGGAGGAGCCCTGTGACACATAGGCCACTCTGAGGCTGAGGGCTAGAGTTCTACAGAGCAGGCTATTAAACAAGGTCAAGTGGAGATCCTAGACTCTGGCCCCGTGGGGTCATATGGGCAGGCTGACCCCCAGCCACACTGCCAGGTCCGGTGTCTGTGAGGTCCCGGTGATTATTTTGACTCTCACCCCTAAATGTGCAACTCTGCATCTCTCTTGGAAGCACAGCTTATCTCCCTGCAAAGAGCCTCTTTTATGAATGTTGATGGAACAGAATTGTCTCCCTTACAGGAAACTGATGGGTCTCCTTCACACACCGAGATGCTCCTAAGAGGCAGAGGTGCCCTCCCCCACCAGCGTGACAAAGCCCTTCTGGTGGCAGGGCCAGCCTTCCCCTGTCCTGAGCCAGCCCTGGTCCATGTGTCTCCCGGATTCCCCTTGAGGCCTCTGCCCAATGTTACCTAATCAGGAGGCCTGATCACACTGTCCCACCCCGCTGCCTTCTCTCTCTCCATGGCACGCGTGCAGCATGGCTTTTATTTACTTGTGTGTTTGTTTTTCGAAATTGCCTATTTTACTCTGCTAGAATGTGAGCTACACGGGGCAGGGATCAGCTGGGGCTCTGGCTCCCGGATCAGTGCCTGGCCTAAACATTCTGGAAATGAACTCGACCATCATGGCCCCAGGCGGTCTTTGCAGGCCCCCTGAACTACCATGCCCTACCATGATGGCCTTGACCACTCTTGTCCCTAACCCAGATCTGGAGGCCCAGGCCAGCGATGAAAAACACACTAGCTCTAATCTATCCGTATCTTCTGGGGCCCTGTGTTGAAACAGTTCTGAGCCCATTATAAGGGCTCAACAGGAAAAGATATGGTGATTGATTAGTGATGTCTGCCACGGGACCACAGGGAGGCAGACAAAATGTGCCACATACTTCCCATCTCAGCCCAGGCCCAAATCTCAGCTCTCCCTCTCATCCTGAAGACGTTATGGGCCATCACTGGGCCTGGAACCAACTTTGCTGCCTTATCCCTGGTCTGATTTCCCTAGTCCCTACCATCTGTATGCAGTGGGCCTCTGGAAGTTTCTCAGAGTGCTCCCTAGTTCACCCTTGGCTTGGAGCCCTCTCCTGCACTCCATCCAGCTTGGTCATGGTCTTGTCCTCTGCCCGGCTCCTCACAGGAGGCCTGTCCCTGGGGGCTGGACCTGGCTCCACCTGCCCCAGCTTCCAGATGGGACTCTCCTCCCAAGAAAACCCTCCCCAAGCCTGGCATTACAATGCGATGCCACCTCCTAGTCATGCCACCGAGGCACCTCCTCCACGTGGGTCCCCTGGAGATTCATGCCTGAGTGTTGGGACTCTGAGCTTGACCATGGCCTTGGTGGGCGGGGGGTACTCTCCCCAGGCGCCAGCCGTAGTCCTCTCCCAGCCTCCCACTCAGGAATAAACTAAGCAGCCCCCAGTCCCAGGCTCTAGGATCGGGAAGGCGTCCTTGTGTGGTCCAGTAAAAGTCCTTGGCTCCATGCAACCTCTTTCTCATTCTTTGTTTCAATCCTGCATCTTCCGGAAAGACTCCAGCTCAGCCCTAGCAGCTGTAGTGAATACAAGCTCCTGCCAGGACCTCCCACCCCCAACACTCGCATCCCCCCTCACCTCCTCCCCACCCCTACCTCCAGGAGCTCTTGTTTATCCCCAGGCAGAGAAGGACACGGATTGTTCTTCCCATTTTCCAGATAGGGGCACTGACGTCCAAAGCATCCTTATGTCTCCACCTGTCAGGCCCTGCCCTGGGTCGTCCCACATATCTACTGCTTTCCTCCATGCTGCTTGTCACTTTCGAAGTAGTCCCAGGTCCCTGCTCTGGCTGGGACCCAGAGCAGGGCTGCTCTGCTGTCAGGATAGGCAGCTCCCTCGGAGATGGAGCAGGGCTGCGGTGACGGACTGGACCAGCCTTTCTCCCTCACCTCCGGGAAGAACAACTTCCTGAGGTTGGAGGGTCTCCCCGCTTTGAGAACTTACCGAAGCTGATGTGAAAGGAGTTCCCGGACTCCTGATGAGCCACTCGAGTTTTCTAGTTGCTCAGCTTCATCCTGGACCTGCCCCTTGCTGGTTCTCTCCTGCCTGACGAGGCAGACCAGCCGAGCACATGGCACAGAGAGGGCACATTACGCTATCGCCTCTCACCAGCCTGGAAGGGCTGGCTGGTCGTGGCTGCCCTCAGCTCCCAGACGTGAGGGCTGGGTGCGTGGCGAGCTGCTCTGTGAAGGGTTCTGAGAGCTGGGCAGAGAGCGCAGGGGTCGGTTAACAGCGGCCATGAGCAGGGGCCCGGGAGGAGGGTGGTGGGACCACATCCCCTCCTCCTTTTCCTGAGACCTTATAGATACAATCAACCGTGCTCCTGGGTGACCACTACAAGGAGAGGTACCTTTCCAATGGCTGCTAAAAATGGAGATTTCTCCTCCTTCCAGTATATTAGAATTCCAGGGAATTAGAAAAAGTGAAGTGGGCTTTGGTTAACTTACTCTGAGGGCAAGCGTCCCCGTGGGTGGCTCCATCTTGAGCTGTTCTCCTTCTCCAACCATCTCTCCCTCTGCTGGGCTCCCAGGGGCTCCCCTGGGCTCCTTCTCGGTCCTGCCAGAACCACCACCCTCGATTCTTCCCACCCGTATGTTCCAGATGCTTCCAGGAACCTTGGAAGTGGGGGCCCAGTGGCCAACATTTAGGAAGGGGACCTGGTGGCTTATAGTGAGCTGGCCCACCTCCTGTGGGGTCAGCTTGAGGGGTCCCTGGGTGTCGAATGGTGCCCAGAATCACAGTTGTGATAAGGCTGTGCCCCTGAACTTTGGTGGGGTCCTAATGTGCCTCCCCCCAAGGGTTCAGATTTGGAGCAAGGTGGCGGTCATCCCTGCAGATGTGGGTGCCCCGGCCTCAGGACACCAGTTCCTAGTTCTGTTTTCACACTGGGCCTCTGCATCCCACTGGGGGCAGAGATGCATCTAAGGACTCCTGGCAGCGGAGGAGGCCGGATCAGAATTCGCCTCCTGCCGGCCACATTCCTGGGCCACCTGCTCTCCCAGAGATGGCCGGTAGAGTGGTGAGTAGGGGGTGCTCTTGCCACCCAGTTTTGCAGGAGGAGCCCAGCAGAGGGGCGGCTAGACTCTGGTCTGAGGCACATCGGGGCTGGGCAGCGTCAGGACGGCGGGCAGAAGGGTGCCCCGCGGGGAGGGGAGGCTGCGCAGCTCCTTAGGCATGAACCTGGGTGAGATGTAGTCGGCCAGGAAGCGGAGGGTGCGCTGGCGCCCCACGCAGTAGACGAGGTCGTCCACCACGGCGCACTGGAAGGCGTCGGGGTAGGGGGTCCGGTACGTGGCGCACTCGTACCAGAGGCGTGTGCTGGCATTGCAGCGGTACACGCCGATGCCCAGGCTGCGGTTGAGGTCAAAGCGATAGAGAAAGCCGTTGACCGCCACCATCTCGGCCGTGCGGTCCTTGCTGCCCGCCGTGGGGCCGGCCCGCCAGCGCTGCTGCTGGGCTGAGAAGCGGAGCAACAGGTAGCGCAGCGTGCCACCCGTGACGAAGATGTCACCGGCACACGCCGTGGCCGTGTGCGCCAGGGCGAAGGTGTCGTTGGGGAGAGGCGGGGCAAAGGTCCAGCGATCCAGGAGAGGGTTGTAGCACTCGACCGTGTTCAGACACTCGCCCCCAATGGCATACAGGTGCCCGTCCAGGGCCACCAGCCGGCAGTGTGGCCGGGCCTGGTTTAGCGGGCACACCTCACTCCAGATCCCAGTCAGCGGATTGTAGCAAAAGACGCGATTGGATGGCTGGTGCCCGGGCCCCTGGCAACCGGACACCACGAAGAGATAATTAAAGAGACTGCAGATGGCACAGCCCCAGGACACAGCCTCGGGGGGCAGACGGGCCAGCACGTGCCAGACGTCCTGCTCATCGTCATAGCAACAGAGGCGGCCAGAGTCTTCCAGGGGGCACACGTCGGCCACCACCAGGTGCTTGCGGCCCTGGAGCCGTCGCTGGAGGATCAGGTCCCGCTCTGCCCCACTCAGGCGCCCGTAGATGTCTGGGCTACGCAGGACCTGGAGGTAGTTGTCGCTCATCACCTTGTAGGCTGCCTCCTTGAGGGTCTCCAGCTTCTGCCTCTTGGCCAAGGTCAGCACCTCGTAGCAATTACCCAGATGCAGGTGGACGTCTGGGGCTGAACCGGGGGCGATTGGCAGGTGGAAGAAATTGGTTCCGGCCACGAGCTGCACGTGGGACTCCTGGCTGCTTCTAGAGGAGCTGGACCTGAGAGAATCCTGGGATATGGGGCCGCCGGGCAGAGCGCTCTGGTCTAGGCAGGATGGAGTGGGGGCCCCGAAGCCGTTGAGCGGCAGCTGAAGCTCCGCGTGCTCCGAGATCTGAAGGAGGCTCTCCTTCCTGCTGAGGCCCCGCGTAGGGGGCGACAGTGCTGGCTGGGAGGAGGCAGCTGCGTCAGCTCTCCCGTCTGTGTCACCAGAGGGGCCTTCTGAGGCTGCCCCTGCTCCGGGGGGCCCTGGCAGTGGCAGAGGGGGCGGAGCCTCGGCCAGGGCTGCTGTCCCAGGAGCCAGCCTGCCTCTGGACGTGGCCTGGGAGGTGGACTCCACATAATAATCGTACACCTTGCCCTTCAGCCTGGGCCTGGTCCCCTCCACCTTCCATATGAAATTCTCCTCCACTCGAACCCGGGCCACAGATGAGAAGGTATAGGAGGCGGTGACGGCCCCCTCCTGCTGACACAGGGCCAGGCCCATGTCCGAGGCAGCCTGGAGGGCCCCAGCCTCTTCCTTGCGCACACCTGTCACTTGGGTGAAGACCCAGCTCTTGTTCATGTCACTGCTGCCTTCCGAATGGACCATCCAGCACTGGTGGGGGGCTTCCTGCTGCCTGGCCCCTGGCTGCTCGGGGGGTCTGCCATCCTGCCATGGAGCAGATTCCCCACCCACCCCGCTGCCGTCTGCCGCTGCAAGGCCGGCTGCAGAGCTTTCGGGTTCACTGCCCAAGTCGGGGGGTTGGGGCAGCTGGGGCTTACCGCCAACAGCCGTTCCAGCCTCCTGGTCACTGCCGCGGGGAGGTGCCAGGTCCGAGCCCAGGCGCTGCCCACTCGCCTCCTCCCCAGCGCCCTTCCTCTCCGGCTTCTGAGTCTCTCTGGCTTCTGAGTCCCTGGAAGAGGCTTCTGTTTCCAGGACTCGGGAGCCCCTCGGACTCTCCCAGCTGCAGTCCAGCGGGGCTCCGGCCCCCTTGCTTCCCCTCCGGCGTCTCGGACCCCAGTGTGGCGCCCCGGGGGCAGCCCCTGGGATGGCAGGCTGCCCGGAGCCCTCTGCCTCCTCCTCGGCTTCAGCCTTGGTGTTCCTATCCCACAGCGGGGCCAGGGCCGGCCGGGATTTGTATAGCCTATAGGCAACCGTCAGCAGGAGCAGGGCGACAGTGGACAGCACCACCTTGCCCGTCAGCTGCATGTCCAAATGCGGGTCCTGGGCCTTGGTTCCTCCTCCTCCAGGGAGCATGTTTTCCAAGCCGACCTGGGGCAGAGGAATGTTAAGAATCCGATTAATGATTGCCCAATAGGGGCTGGTTCCTGGTTCCTGCCAAGCTGAGCGGGAGGGGATCCGGGCTGGCTCTGGCTGGCCAGCAGAGGAGTTGGTGCAAAGGTGACTTTGAGCTGGCAGAGGGCAGCCACTGGGCCCGGGCTGGCAGGTCTCGGCGGCCGGCTCCCTTGGATCCTTGGGTGTTTTCCCTGGCGGCGGGAGTCGGGGGTCTGCCTGGGGCTGAGCTTGGGAGCGGCCCCCTGAACCAGCAGCAGCCGGAGGACATTGGGAGTGTCCAGCAGGCACACGAAGAGGAAGGACGCTCTTGACCAAACAGTCACCCGATGCCAGGAAGCGCACGGGGTTGGTTATTATTTGCGTGTGTGCTTTATCGTCTCTTTTGCAAATCCACTGGGCTGGGAGGGTGGGGTGTGGTGAGCCCTGGGGCAGGCGGAGCCACGGCAGGTGTGGCAGGAGATCTCCCTGGGCCTGTTTCCTTCCCGTTGGGGTCTGTTGGTCCCCACCGTAGGGTCTGCAGTTAAGAGCAGGGGAGGCGGGACTGGGGACTGCAGCCACGCCCCCTGGCCCGGCTCTTGGATCCTCTGCCCTCCTTCCCTGCCTGACGAGTTCACTGAGAGAACCAGCCTTCCCGAGAGGAGCTGGGGAAAATGCACAGCATTAGTATCCAGATCGGGGATGGACGTGGGGCACATCCTTGCCCTCAAAACCAGGCAACCTCACACGGTGAGAGGCAGAGGGACACACCCCTGCCCCCCATCTCACCGGCGCTGTGGGTTCTGGATCCGGACTACCTGACTCTGCCACTTACCAGCTGTGTGACCTTAGGCAAGTGAGTTCACCTCTCTGTGCCTCAGTTTCTTCATCTGAAAAATGGGGGTAACAGCATAAACACCTCATAAGGTTGTGGTGAGCACAAAATAGGTGAAAGTTTGTAAAGCCGTAGGGCCGAACTCCAGCTCGTGAAAGCTCAGTAAATAGCTGTTCTTGCTTTCCTCTCCTCTGTCTCCTCATCATCACTCCTGTTAATTGTCATCAGCTGGACTTTCTGAAGCACAGAGCTAATTCTGCGCCCCCCCCCCCCCCCACAGACTCAGGTCCTTTAAGGGGCCCCAAAGGCCAGCGCAGGGATGGCAAACTCACACGGCCCAGGGGGCCGCCGGGCAGATCAAGTCACCGGGCTGACGGTGCTGGGCGGGCGGGCCCAGCACTGCCTGGTCCCACAATTTCAGAGACGCTGAGAGTCCAGCAGCGATGTGATCACTCTCGATTTCTAAGTGTTGGCATCTAATTAAAACATGAAAAGAAAAAGCACGTTGTGAGCCAAAGGAAACACAAGCACAGGAGGAATTTGGCTCTGAAGCCTTGACTTGAGGAGAAAATTCTGACTCCTTCTGCTGGTGCTCATAGCCCTCCACGCCCCAGCCTCAGTTTACCCTTCTACATTCATCTGATTGCCACCTCCGGGCCGGGGCAAGGCCGGCTTCCCTTGTCTTTGCTGGTCTGCACTCCTCCAGCCCTTCAGACTCGGGTCAAAGGCTGTGCTTCCCGTGGCTTCTGCCCCATCTCTCCAGGATCTTTTCTTCCTTCTTTGGTCTCTTGTCCTTCTACGTGCCTCCTTTAGCCCTTGTCACGTGGGCCGCAGGTTAAAGTACCCTGTGTTCTCCTGCCGGATTCTAGGTCCCCGAGGACAGATACTGTGCGGCGCTCGACTTTGAGCCCTGAGGCCGATATGGGGCCGGGCACAATGGGGACAGTGGCCAACACGGATTGAGGCTTTGTAAGAGTAGAATGGGGGTGGACACTCAATAAATCTCATTTAATGCTCACCGTCCATTGAGGAGAGACGCAATCCTCATCCCCATTTCACGGCAGCTCCAAGGTCATCAGTTTGCTCATAAATGGCCACTTTTATCCGTGTTTGCAGGCTCCAGAGTTTTACAGACCTGAGTTCATCCGACAGGCAGGACTTTTCCGGAAGCGAGGCCGCCCCGGCCTGTCCCGCTGTGACTGGCGGCTGGCCCTCCTGGTTCCTTTTCTTTCCACCGTGGTCCAAACAGCGATTCTGAGTTGATCAGACACAAGAATCACTGGGGTCCTGGTTAGAAATGCAGATTTCCAGGCTCCAGCCCCAGACTTGCTGATCTAGTGGGTTGGGGCGGCTCCCAGGAAATCTCTGCTTTTAACAATCATCTCAGGGGGTGTCAGTGGGTCTTGGGATGAGATGTAAGTCGGCTTTTCTACTTGTCTGCTGAGAGTTCCTCTTCGCCCCTGGGCGGTGGGTGAGCAGCTCCTCCCTCCATCATCAAGATGAGTAGCAGGAAACGGGGAGTGAAGTCCTGGGTGCTTTGCCTAAGCGACATCGCTTCATCGACCCTGTAACCCAGAGAGGTGGGTATCGTCATCACCCTCATTTTGCAGGTGAGGAAACTGAGGCTCAGAGGGATGTGCCGGTGTCACGTAGGTGGTGGGTGGCGAGTCTTGAATTCCAACCAGGTCTCTTTGGCTGCATGACCCCCTCATCTTCCTCTGGGAAGGGGAGGATGAGGTATACAGGTAATAAAAATGACTTGTCTGGTGGCGAAACCAGGACTTAGGGGGCTGACGTGTGGTCTCCCAGCAGTCAAGCTACCTTTCCGGCCATAGTGACAGCTTTGGGACTCTGTACCCTTGGCGGGGGGGGTTTGTGGCATGTCCCTTCAGTCAGTTGTGACCTGACATTGTTCTCTCAGATGCTACCAAGCGAGCAGTGTCTCAGCCATTTGGCATGCTGCTTCCCACCCACGAAGGCTCCGCTGTGCCCTGGAGCACACTCCACCTGCAGCCCCAGCATAAACCCTTTAAGTCAGACAATCAGCCTTTCCATCTGGAGCCACGTTCCTGGGAGCTGGATCTGGCCAAACCAGGCCCCCGGGTGGGAGGGGGAAGACGGGAGAACCACTGAGAACAGAAGACACAGTCCCAGCCCTGGGGGGGCTCAGTTCCTTACCAGGAAGACGGGGGCCTGTGCCTGAGATATGATCAAACAACAATGGATCACAAGAGAAACATTATTGAGATGATCTGTCAACAGATGCTAACGACAAAGGACAGCCGGGGAGGCTGGAGCAGGGGCATCAGATCAGGGCTCAGGAAAAGAGTCCAGAAAGAGGCGTTCAGCACTGAGTATTGATCAAGGAAGGAGGGGGCCTGGGCTGATTGACAACAAATATTTGCCAGATGCTTACCATGTAGCAGGCCCTGAGCTGGGGTGCAGGGACATAGGTTAGGGAGACACATGTGGTCCCCAGGCCCCTGGAGACTGCAGACTCTGGGGAAGAAGATGCTGAGCATGAAGATGGCGGAGTGCGATGACCCTCATGGGTGAGGGTGTCGGTGGGAGAGTGAAACAGGAGCCCCTGCACGAGGCTGGGACGAGAGAGTGGATGGCGCGCTTGATGTGGCAGGAACAGGGAAGGCCAAGAAGGGGGAAATGGCAAGGTACAAGGAAAACTGGGGGACTTGAGAGCCAGGACAGTGCATGAAGCCCTCCAGGTTGGCCTGGGAGCAGGTGTGTGGGTGGGGATGGGGGGTCACCCGGCACTGGTTTGAATCCTGGCAGGTCCTGTGGCCTTCCCTGGTTTGAGGGCAGAAGGAACACCTGTGCAACCTGGGAGGCCTTCATTAAGTGAGACTTCCTGCCGGCAGCCTCTGTTCTAGTTATCAGCAAACACAGCCCCCTGAGATTGTTTTAAAATGTAGGTTTTATATTATTCGGGTGTGGTGGGGCCAACGTATCAGAGAGCCCTGCTACTGAGAAGATAGTTTGTCACAGTTCCCAAGAGGAGCCCCCATCCCAGGCCACACAGGGCCACGTGGGGAAGCACCAGGTCTGCCAGGAGGCGGTGGGGTGGGGGCGTTCTGGGAAAGTGTGAGCAGGAGCCTTTCCTGTGGTCTCTGAGGAAGGAACCGACGAGGCAGGGTGTACAGGTTCGGGACTGGCCGGCTTGAGTGATGTCAGGGGTCCCCGGGCTGTGTTGAGGTGTCTGGCGCCTGGTCCCGGAGTGACTAGGGCTGGGAGTGTTGCTCCTGGTGTATCAGAGCCTGTGAGAGCCTGAGACAGGAGGTGGTTGGGGGTAGGGCTTCCTTCTGTTGGGTTCATTTGCCTATGAAAGCTGCGCTCCTGGGCCAGCCCCTTGCTCCCTCTAGGAACTAGCTAACACTGGTTGTTCAGGTCAGGTCAGCAGGGCCCCAGATGCCAGAGCATCAGGAATACAGAAAATAAGAGGACACAGTTACTAGGGGGAGTCAGAAGACCAGAAGACAGGAGAACAGGGGCTTGGGGCCCCTAGGAGGCGGCCGGCTGCCCCTTAGGGAGGTCGAAAGTGAACTTCTGCTCCACCTGAGGTCTCACCCTTTCCGGCAGGTGAACACGACACTCCTGCTGACTTCAGGCTCCATAAATGACAGACTTTTTTCAGTCCATTTGGAAAAAGTGAAACGAACAAATGAAGACAGGAGTGAAATTAAAAGATAATTGGCAGTCTATATTGGGCCCCCGTGAATGTGCGTGCTCCGCCAGTCTGGTCTCTCCGTGGTGGCGGGATAAATTGAGACCTCCTCGGTTGGCTCAGGGGGTGGAGAAAACAGCCAGAGACAAACGTGTGCTGTGCAAATAAACAGGCCCATGTTCCGAGGATTAGCTTTGAGTTCCATCATGCTGGTGCCTCCCCGGGTCTCAGCCCCACTCTGTGTCTTCCAAGGTGGAGGCGCCCTCCAGGTGGGGGAGGCAGGTGAGGCCCCAAGTGGGGCCCGAGGCTGTGAGTAGGTGGGAGGTGAGATGTGTGTGCAGAGAGGGGTGGGGATGTCAGAGAGGGGGATGGGGAGGAGAACAGCCTTTCACACACACATACATGTGCACACGTGCACACACAAACCCATGTGCACACATGTGCAAACACATACATATGTGTGCATGTGTG